TTGATTGGCTGATGTCATGGTTTGATCGACGTAATTGCTGACTCAGGATAACCAATCATTTAACTGTCCCTGCTGTTAACTTTATATATATTATTATTATTGTGCTTCAACTTATTGACTTGAAATTGGTCAAAGATTTATTACAATATATAAAAAAAATCAATTGTTTATCATTGAGAGATTTCAGAATTAAAGGCGGGAAATCTAATTTTGATAAAAATAGATGACGTACGTACAATATTTGTTTTAAATAAAGGATTTATTAATTTTATTTCGTTTTCCAGCCAATTTGATTTCCGATTTCGGACTTTTTTATTAATATATACTCATTTATTTGTTTGAGCTGTTTTCAAAAAAGATGTCCATATATCCATGTGGGGAATTTAAGAATGTGGAAATTCTGCTTATGTAGTAAAAATTAAAATTCGATTAGAGCAATTTTGTAAACGGCAGTAAAACTATGTCAGAATTGTTTTAATTAAATAGAAATTACTAGTAACTTACAATAGAGCAATTTTTGTAATTACCAACGCCTAAAACTACGTATAATCTCGAAAATTATTTAGTATATGTTTAAATTTAATTTACATCGTTATTACCCAGGCCTGGAATAATAATAGATACGTGCATACAATTGTGTATATTCTAAAGTACTGTCGAACCCGATAACTTGTCAAATCTGATAAAAAATTAGTTATATAGATCTAATAGTTTATAATGGTTTCAAATCTGATAACCTCACAATACTGATACAAAATCTGCATATCGATTTGGGGAAGTTCAACAATAATTACTATTAAAAGTTCAAAAGAACGTTAAAGTAATTACCATTAAAAGTTCAGAAAGACGTTAGACACTCCTATATGTGATCATTTTGCATTAAAAGAATTCTTAATGCATAATAAATGTTGATAGGCTAATTTAGTAATTGCATGAATCGAGATATTTATAACAATAATTTTTGAATTTTAAGAAATTATCGTTATTGTTCCTGAAACCCTTATAAAACGAGTACGTACACGTAAGCACAGATTTGATAACTTTTAATGTTCTCAAAAAGTTAATAAAAGATTATTTTTATAATAAAATTTACAAAATATTGTTCTCTAAATGATAAATTTTAATTATTTTATTCTCAAAATAATAAATTTTAATTATTTTATTCTCAAAATAATAAATTTAATTATTTTATTCTCAAAATTATTAAAAAATATCTTAATAATGCTAAGAACATTAGATATTTAGCACTATATAAGTGATTCTATATTAATTAAGTGATACCTAGACGTTATATTGTTAAAATTTCTAGAATAAAGCTTTCAAGGTTATTTGTTATGCGTAGTTCTGCGGAATTCCTATTAGACATGTTTATTATTAGTAAAATATTTTTTGGCTAAATCAAAAATTATATATATATACTGTAATACAGTATACAGTATGTATATAATTTATATATTCTTATTGTATGTATATAATTTATATATTCTTATTATTATTATATATATATATATATTTATTTATATACTATATTTTTATTAATATGAGCTATATTTATCGTTATGACATGGAATGAATTTGGTTAGCGGCATGCCATATGGCATGTATCTCCAATAATGTTCTTTAAAACGTGCACATTTAAGCCCGTACGTGCGTACGTACATTAACCAAATATATAATGGTTTAAGTTTTTTTTGGTAAGCATTGATTACTGTCTAATTGTTTGTGTAAATCTTTGAATTTATTAAATATAGTTTAATTTAAAGAACATTTATTTTATTTCTTGCCAATAAGAAAAGTCTTTTTAATCACGATGATAGGGTTTTTTAATTTTTGAAGATCAAACATGTGGGAATTATCTTTAATATATATATATTTTTTGTCTATGATGTTATTTTATTTCGTTTTGGTTACAATGAAATTTTTTTAATTTCGATGAGATGGATGTTTTTATCATTCATTGTCAGTTTGTAAGTTTGACACATCCAACAATGGACTTTATGGATACATCTATATTTGCAAAAATATTTGTAATACGTAAACTATTGCTTTTGGGTATTAACTTTACCAGGAAATATCATCTAATAATCCTATTGCCGATTATATTATGATTTTTTTTATCACGAATGTTACTTAAATCAAAAATGATCTTAACATATGATAATCTCTAGTCATGAAATACTAAAAATAACAGCATATTACGAAATTTATTGAACAATAATAAATAAAAACTACATTTTTCCTCTTATCTTTTTTTAATTAATATATTTTATTGTGTATAGAAAGTCTTAAGATTAACTTATTTCCGTGTCCTAGTTGTAAAAAGATTCACCAAGTATAGTTTAAACGTGAATCAATTATATTTATAATTCGAAATTTACCTGGTTTCATTTCTAAAAGATAATTCATACAAGTAATTAATTTGGGTAAGATTTTCACTTTAAATAAAAATTCATGTTCAAATTGTTTCGAGAATTTTATTGATATTTTGATCACGTAATCCAACTCAAAAAAAAAAAAAAAAAAAGTAGAATTATACAAAATATCTAAAATTACAGGTTACATTAAGTAATCAATTTAAATTAGAAAAAAAAAAATGAATGAATACAATTACTACGAGAATTCAATTGCTCGAGTAAATTGCATTTAAAATAAATAAATGTATTTATGAGAAAGTTGGAATTAACAATGTTTAATAATTAATCACCATGGTAAAGATTCTTTGCGTTTGACCGGATTAATAATATTCGGAGACAAATTTTCTGAAGAATAAGACTCACCAGGCATGCTATCAAATGATTCACCACTTGGTCTTCCTGGTGGTAATGTAGCAGAACGAATGACAGTTGGCATCGAATCAATCGATATCAACGAATCTACTGTAATTTTAAGATTACGCCGTCTGTTAATTTTACTCTCTTCATGATGTAGTAGTGCACAATCTGTGAATATACATATATAATTTTAAATTAGTATTAACCATTGGTTTAAATTCGATATATATATATATATATATATATATATATATGAAATACCTTGTAAATGTGATTTTAAATTCATTGAATATGAATAATCCAGTGCTGTCCACCCAGAATTGTTTTTAACAGCAAATTGGCATCCACGTTCAATTAATATGGTAACAGCCTTTAATAAAATTTAATTTCAATTATTTAAACCAATAAATAATAATAGCTTCTTTTTTTTTTTTATAAATAAAAATTATTTTACATCAAATCGTTCCCAAGCTGCCGCACTATTAATTAAAATTATAATAGAAAAAATTATTAATTAATTCAATATTTGTTGGAAACATTATTCAATATTAATATTATTCAAAAAACAACTTACTAATGCAATGCTGTATTCCCTTCAAAATCAGTTTGATTAATGTCAGCTCCATTTTCAAGTAAGAGCTAGACATATTGGAATTAGTACAATTGACAGTATATATAACATGTGAAAAATTAAGATATATCAATAACCAACTTTGATAGGATCAAGGTTGCCGTATTTTGATGCATAAATTAATGCTGTTTGTCCTTGTTTATTGACCATATCAACACTATTCGGAAAAAACGTTATATACATTTTCATTATCTATATCGAAAAAAGTAAATATATTTTTTTAAAAATGTTAGAAAATTTTATAAAAGAATATAATATGTGAATTCTTGTTCTTACTTCTATGAAATTATATTGTGAGGCAACCATCAATATCGTATTATTATCAAAATCCTTTATAAAAAAAAAGAGATCGAAACAATTAATTAGAAAATGACCAGAGCCATAAAAATAAGTAATATTAAAAAAAAGACCAACCTACTCTAGAGAGCTCAATCTCTTCGTGTCCGTTATTAAGAAGATATTCCACAACGCGATCATGACCGTAACGAGTAGCATACATCAAAGTGGTCCTTTAATATGATCGAAGAAAACCTTAGTTTTGAAAGGTATAGTTCAAAATAAAAAATACAGAGGAAGATCCGGGAAGTACACACGTCATACCAGCCATTCACTGGGTCTGGGTTTTGCATATTGGTCTTTGCAATTAACCGTTTAACAAGATGAAGATTCCCTTCACAGGCAGCACGCCGTAGTCGTACTCGTGGGTCTTCAACTGGCATATTTAATATTGATATACTATGTAATCAACAGGGCTTTTTTTTTTTTTTTTTTTGTAAATACAAGTTTTTTTTTTAAAAAAAAAATTTAAAAATGTTTAAACGTTTAAGTCAGAGCATTTAACTTGTTTGTGGCGGCTGTGTAACGAACAACAAAAGTAAATCAATTAAATCATTGGTTTAATATTACAAATTTCACACACAGCCATTAATGTAAAGCATTAATAATTTCACACAATAAGCCGAATTTACAATCAATTCGTTTTTTTTTTTTAAAAAAAAAACTTTTAGACATGAGAATGAATGATACTATTTACGTAAAACTGGAACTACCTATCAAATATCAATCTACCGTTTTATGCTGTATTAATTTGTAAATTTTTCCGGTGATTTTGTGCGCGGATTTTTTATATAAAATACGACTTGTTAACAGTCGAGCACACCAAAGTATCACTGCAATCCATAAAGTCATTACGTCTTCAAAGGTAGGTTCATCGGAAGTTTCTGGAACATGTTCTAAATAAATAAATAAATAAAAAAAAAGAAGAAAAAATAGATATATTTTTTTTTATTATTAATCACGTTTCGTTTTAGTTTCAATTTTTTCGTTTCAATTTTAAAATATCGTTTCATTTCCGTTTCAAAATTTGGTTAAAAATAAAAAAAGACTTGCCTATTTCTACAAAAATTTCCGTAAATTCTTCATTTTCTTTATCATAAACAACATTAAGGAATTCCTTTAATGGATCAACATAATTCAATTCAACTTTATGAGCCACCGCTTTCAATGCCACTATGTTTGGTAAATGATTTTCGCTAGAATCCAATTTTACAGTATGTCTAAGAAAAGAATAAAATCGCTTTACACCAATTAATTCTTTTTGAATTTGACCAACATGTGCCACATATAATCCATCAACACTAGTAAATTTATAAATCGGACAATAACATTGATGTTCTTTTGATAAATGAATGATTACTTCTTTATCTTTTGTTGGACTAATGAGTGTTAAGATTGCATTTTGAGTTGCATACGGTTCAAGTGACTTTCCTATATACGAAAGATAACGTGCGACTAAAAAGAAACATAGATTTTTTTGTTTAAAATTTTTGTTTAAAAATATATATATTTTTTTAAAAAAAGTTACTTATTATAAATACAAAATATTTATAGTTGACCTACCTCGAAGGCATGCAAGACGATAATATTTTCGTGCAGAGTTATGAATTTCATTGGTAAAATGAGGATCCATGTTCAAAACTGTAGAGTAAGACATTTCACTTTTAAAGGAAAATTTCGAGATTATATATATTATCAATTTGTGGGAATTTCATATTTATAAGTTATTTTATAGTATTTATATGTTTTTATTGACAATTTGACATATTGAATGTTTCCTAATGAAGTAGATACCTGTCATTCCTGAATTTAAGTTTTGCGTGCAGATTTCAGGTGCTCTGCGATCGTTGATAATGATATTTTATTTTTATTGCTGTTTGCTGTATTATTGCTGTATTGATTTATTGATTTATTGATATCAATAAAAAAAAAAAAAAACGATAGTCGAATGATATCAAACTCTATCATGATTTTACTGATAGGAATACTTTTGCCTAAAAACCTGTATAACCTGTCCATATAAATTATATCTTTTTTTTCTTTTTCTTTTTTGATTGGCTATTATTAATCCGGACTTCGGAGTTATAACAGGTTGGCTGGTAAATGGGCTAAATCACAAATCTATTACGTATACTGTAACGGTAAATATATATATATATTGAGAATAATTAAATTTTTAGAGTAATATCAATATTTAAAAAAGTTTGTGATTAGAAAAAAAATTTAAAGTTAAGGTTTGGAAAAGGTTATTAAGGACGTTTGAGTACCTTCGTTTAGAGTATCAAGTATTAATTTTGTCGTTTTTTTGTGATATAGGTAATTATATATTAAGCGATTTTATTTCTTTAGCTACGACGATTATTAATCTTTGGCTGTACGTAATCGTTAAAATGAGTCTAGCCATAAAAAAGTAATTTATATGATCTTTATATGGAAATCAAATCTATCAAAAAAAAAAAATAGATATTTGATTATGACACTTCATCTTTTTTTTTTCAAAAAAAAACTTAGTCGGGCAATCTAACAGATTGTTTAAAAACAGTTGTTAATTTAAATAATGTATATGCAAGGGAAGCATACTATACATATATATATATTATATTTATATAATGTATATGATGTAATAAGATGGAAAATTTTTACGAATGATATCGGAAAGTTTGTGTTATACAATATCAGAATATCAGAATATCAGTATCAGTACGTACTTTACTTTATCTGGTATTATAAAATATGCATAGTACACCGACACATGATAATTGGTTTCTAACTTTGAAAGTCATAGCGCTAAATGTAATTGAATCAAAAAACAAGTCGAACAGGAATCCCTGCTGTACTATGCTCATGATCAGGATCGCTACATCACTACATCACTACATCACTACATCACGAGGGATATACGTACGTACGTACGTACGTATCTGTGAAATTAAATTAATGTACTGTAGTATTCTCTACAATGGTATATATGACTCCTGTGACCTGTCATATATTATTTGGTCATAACGAAGGTGGATTTTTTAATGTAGTAAATCATAGTAAAAAAAAATCCTAATTATATGACCAAAAAGTTATACGATTATATGACCAAGTTCATATTATATAATAAATAAATAAAAAAATTGATTGCTGACCTACAACACTCCCTGTTAATTGGTCCGTGACATAATAAGTGACATAATGACTGACATAATGACTGACATGCGATTAAACGGTTCCAATTCTCATTTTCTGAATATTAAAATTAAACCGTGTAGCATGTAACTAGTCTGGTCGGGTTAGTTTACTGGCTCGGCGTAGTGATGACAGTTGGGTATTAATAAAGTTGATAACGATAAATTTACATCTTGACTAATATTATCTATATAGATTGTATGATATATTAATTATATATGTTATTTTCGTTTTTTTGTCAAAGGATAAAGTCAATTAAGGCTGCGCCATTTATCAGCACTTTTTCAGGACATAAGATAAATAATGTAGGTTCTATTCAACGAATTACATTCCTAAAAGAACGTCAGTTGGTTTATTCAACAAAAGCAAATGGGGAAAAGCAAGAAAAAAATGAATCCAAGGTGTCAAAGACAGAGATATACGATAATCAGTTAAAGGTTTGTGTTCTTTCTATACTTACTCAAGTTCCATTCCCGATATGTATGTAATACTACACTCAAATAAATCAACTATCACTAACAAAAAATTACAGAAAAATACTTCTCTGTACCAAACTCCCCCTTTAATAAACACCGAACTTATTTACGTATTCGTTGATAATTCTAATGTTTTTATTGAAGGAAAATATGCAATTTCCAAACTTGAGAATTTGGGCACATTTGATAACAAAAGGCATTCTCTATGTTTTAACCAGTTTCATATCGATCATGGTAAACTTCTTGCAACGATCCAAGATAATCGTAAGTTGGGTGATGCTCCGGTATTTGTTGGGTCACGCCCATCACCTAATGATTCACTTTGGAGGAATGTTCGGGAACAGGGATGCAATGTAATGGTATACGATCGAAATATTGAAAATCGTGTGAAAAAAGTTGATGTAGCATTAGCACATGCTATTGATAAAGTAATTTTCACTAAAAGTCCCGGTATATTGGCATTAGTCTCTGGAAATAGTGACTACGACCCAATAGTAACAACTGCCCTCAAATGTAATTGGATAGTTGAAACATGGTTCTGGAATATGGGTATGAAAATTATCGTGTTTAAAATAAGTCACAAATTATCCGACTAATGAATTTTCATAGGGATGTCCGGTGAGCTTAAGGACAAGACAATTTTCACTCCTTTAGACTATCACTATAAGTCCTTTTCATGTGGTTTTGGTCCTGACTTCGAAAAGAACAATCAGGTTCTTGAAGTTATTGGTCATAATCTTCAGAATTGGGGAAACAAAGAAATGATCAATATATTCGCTCCTTTAAACGTATTCGGTTGGTGGAACCGGATAAATGATGAGACATTTCACTTGTATTTTAATAAAAAGACGCAATTGCAATTAGTAAAGAGTTGGATAAAAAATTGTCCACATGAATTACAAATTAAGGAAAAAAGTTTTTTGCTTAGTAAGGCATTATATACTTTGGGTTGCTAAGGGTGTTTTCAAGCGCCTTAATCAATGGGGTAAAAAGCGTCGGGAAATAAAATTTATTTAGCGAAAAATAGTTTAAATTAATCAAGCGTGTTTATCATTAAGATGAATATGCATAATTGATAAAGCTTATTACGTAAATTATTAATAAAAAAGATTGAAATGAAAGTGTCATTTAAATCAACAAACTTTTTACAACAACCCTCCTTTTTTTTATACCTGTCTTGAAAATTTTACAATCAATTGAGTTTTCAAAAAGACCGCACAAGTAACATTGCCATGGATCATTACGTTCAGCGACGAATTATTATTTTACTAAACGTTTTTATAAATGCTAAAAAAAACCAGGAGGCTCAAAAAACAATATGGTTTGTTGTTTAATACTTCAGAAGAGGTAGAATCCATATCATGAATAATTCTTATTATCGAGAAATTAATACAACTACTTATGAAGCTGTTTTTGGATTTTCAAATATAAATTTGAGATTTTGTTTGATTTTTATTGTAATCATCGGTTAACTAATATATTCTGAAAATTTATTCGTATCATATAACTTACTAGTATACATCTTGTGAATGAATTTGTTTATTGGTACTGGTTTAGTCTTATTAGCTTCTAAAATTTTTTTTTTTGATTTCATTAGCACCTTCATGATCCATTTCATTTGACCAACGAGTAAATATTTCAATAATTTCTGTTGCAGAAGGTCGTTTATCAAGTTCTTTATCCATACATTTAATAGCTAATTCAACGAAACATTTACTAAAAAAAATAAATTAAATACTTAAAGTGAAATAAAAGGTCAAATTTAAGTCTTGATCAACTGATAATTCTCGATGATCATCAAATGGAATTCCTCTTTGTCCAGTCAAATCTCTGTCGCGATAACTCTAAAACTATAAATATCTGATGCTTGTGTATACGGTTGGTCCATTAAAATCTCTGATGCTTATACGGCGGAATTTTTTCTTCCTTTACTTTTCTACAAAGTCCAAGATCAGTAATATATGCGTTATTCAAATGACTTAGTAAAATATTTTCGCTGTGTAAACGATTTCCTGCGAATGAATTGACTCGAGATCCAAAGCTATTCTATACAACAAATTTATTTTATTTTTCCATTCCAATTATGATGCTTGTACAAGATTCTGTCGTAATGAACCTTTTTTGGCAAGCTTCATAATCATAATTATTTCTTGATGCCCCAACACATTCCGCGAACGAAGGATACTTGCAACCGATTTCACAATAATTCTTCAATACATGGATAAATTCTTGTTCATTTTTGTTTGAATCATGAATCACTTTAAGTGCAACATCGCACATCGTACCATTAATTCTATCGGCACAACGTGCCCAATATACAGTTGCGAATCCTCCTTTTCCCCATTATTTCATAACTCTAAATTCATTATAATCAACCCAAAATAATTTAAATCTCTCATCGTTTAATATTCTCTTTAAGTTCAGGATTGATATGATCCGATGATTTATTTGTCTTCAAATTACTTCTATATTTTGTGTACCCTTAATTTGCCCTCTTAATATCTCTCTTGCATCAATACCGTTACGATAATATCGAGCAAGGTTAATAATTGCCGTCTCAATACCCATATTAGCAGATTTTTCAAAGTATTCAAATGCTTTATTATTAGGGATGTTATCCTGTTTAAACCGATCAGTTTGTGCTTGAAAACCTGCTAAACACCGATTCGAAGCACACGTGC